ACATCACTGAACTTAACTACTCCAAATGTCTTTGACACTTTTTTTGCCATTATAGACACCCCCTCCCTATGTCCATTCCTAATCTTTTGTTCTCTCTGTCTTTAAAAGCTGGAGACCATGGGGCAGCTAGGTGGCACAGTGGATAAAGCACTGGGCCTGGACAGGACCTGAGTTCAAATCCGGCCTCAGACACTTAACACTTACTAGCTGTGTGACCCTGGCCAAGTCACTTAACCCCATTGCCTAGCAAAAGGAAAAAAAAAAAAAAAAGCTGGAGACCAGAGAGTCACTCAGCTAGAATCTACCATGAGCTACTTATATGGTAATAGCAGAAAGTGTCCTGGGGTTCAAACCCTGCCTCTGACACTTATTAGAAGTAGAACTCCAACTAAGTCACTTAAGCTTAATGAGGTTCTCCATCTCTAAAATGAAAATAATAATACCTATGCTGTTTACTGCACAGGATTAGTGGATGGAGATAAAGTATGTAAAGTGCTTTGTAAACCCTTAAAGTACTAACTCTATAAATGTCAGCAATTATCCTTATAGGCATTAGAGTAAAATCCACTTCAGGCTAGTCTGGTAGGGAGGTCTGTATAAATGAATTAAGAATTTCAAGTACAGACCATCCCAATAAGAAAAGCTAGCATTTATTGTTTCATTTGATCCTTACAAAGACCCTGTTGAGGCAGGTGCTATTATTATCCCCATTTTACAGATGAGGAAACTGGGGCAGAGCTTGGTTAAGTGACTTGCCCAGGGTCATAAAGCTAAGTGTCTGACATAGGATCTGAACTTAAAGAAATTCAGTCATCCCTTTCCTATAGATACAGCAATGCAAATAGTTAACAAAGTGCCAAGTCACGGCTTCTATTTTTAGTCACTGGTTATTTTACACATGAATTGTATGTTTTTGCTGCCAAATGCTTAAAGCTGAGACATAATAGCTGATTGAGAAACACAGGAAAAGGGGAAACAGTTTAAGTGCTAATAAGAACTAAGGGAATTTGACATCCCCGGCTTCTTCAACTCCCTGGCCCCAGGATCACTTTCACCTTCTCTACCCTGCTTTGGTCCTGGTTTTGTGGGCATCAGCTCTGCGTCTCCTTTCAAATATTAGCAACCTCTAGCCTGCTTTTCAGGCAGCTGGTTGGTGCAGTGGAGTCAGGATGATTCATCTTCCTGAGTTCAATTCTGGCCTCTGACATTTCCTAGCTGTGGGACCCTGGGCAAGTCACTTAATCCGGTTTGCCTCAGTTTCCTCCTCTATAAAATGAGCTGGAGAAGGAAATGGCAAACCACTCTAATATCTTTGCCAAGAAAACCCCAAATGGAGTCATAAAGAGTCAGATGTGACTGAAAAACAACTGAACAAGAAAAATCCTGCTTTTCATGTTATCTTGAGACAGTCATTCTGAAAACGACCCAGGTGCTAAGCCCCTACCCTTAGGCAAAAGACTTCCTGAATAGTAAGACACCAAATGTCTGGCTCCTGGAAATAATCCAACCAAATGTGTCCAATTTTAAAAAGATGAATTCGAGTTAACCTTGCAAGAGAAATGTTGCATTTGGCAAGGTTCTGTAAAAGCCCAAACTAACAGGATGGAGAGCTAGCTTAGCTAAAAAGAAGGGGAGAACTGCTTTAAAAAAAAGTTTTAATTGAAACATATTCATCACATGTGTTTGGAATCTGGTATCTATATTAAACTTATTTTTCCAGTAACAAAAATCAGAAAACTAATGGCTCAGATTTCTCATTTAACTACAAGCAGCTAATTGCTTCCTCAGGATCAAAAGATTTAAGACATCTCTCCTTTGAGGGGAGTATCTTGCAAAGATATCCAAGAACAGAGGAAGTCCTGAATATTGTACTCAACCCACAAGACTGGCCAGGAGATCAGAAGACCCCAGTTTGGATCTTAACTGACATTTATTAGCTGGCTGAGCTTAGGCAAGCAGCTTCATTCCTCTGGGACTTAGTTTCCTACTCTGTAAAGTAGACTGAAAAATTTCAAGTGGACAAGGTCTTAGACCTAATCCAACTCCCTCTTTTTACTGATGTGGAAACTGAGGCCCAGAGAGGTGACATGACAAAGTCACACATCCCATGCAGGGATAGGATCAAAATATAACATTTCCCCTACTATATCAGGCTATACTCTAGTCAGAATATAAGAGCTATAGGACTCAAAATGCAGCCCAAAAATTTGGGGAGAAGATTTTAAAAAAAAAAGCAGTTTCTGCAATGGAAACTTGGTTTAAACTTTCCCTTAAACCTAATTCTACTTCTAACTTTTTATTGTCACTGAGACCTGTGTCTGAAAGGTTCATGCTATCTCTGACTTTTCCTTTTGCATATTTTATTTCCAATTAGTCTTGAAGTCAGTCATAAGTATAATGGAAAGATCAATGACTTTGGAAGTGGAAATTTTCAGAATGAATCTCATGAAAGCAGAGACCATTTCTTTCCTAAACTTCTTTCTCCACCAGGACTAAAGCAGTAGGTGTTTGACAAATATTTGCTAAATTAAATTTAAAGCAACTCTAGAAACTGGCATTGATAAACCACGTGTAAGTAGCTAATGAGACTACGGGAGTTCCCGCCTCTCAACTAAAATCTTAGCTAATATAAAATAAGCTATAATCTAACTACAAGATATATGAGATAATGTTCCAACAGAAGCTTTGGGTAGGTGGAAAGAAACATTAGGAAAGGAAAATTGTATAAGAAAGAAGTTGTGAGTTGGGTCAAAAGTGTCCAGGAGAGACTGGACACTGCCCCGCCTGGTCAACACTGGTGCCTTGATGTGCTTAGAAGGTAAATTCCTATAATGGAGCTTGATGGTACCTGCCCTCAAGGTCATCACATTGGAGCAATGGTTTTAGAGTCAGATTTGGGGTTGAATCCTGCCTCTGCTACTTGGCTGGCAAACCTTTGGTGTGTCACATGACCTATATGGCCTTGGCAAATCTCAGTTTGGGCAGCATCTCCCTGATGCCATCAATACAACACTGAAGCAAGTCACCTCACCTGCCTGGGCCTCAGTTTCCTCATTTGTAAAATGAGGGGATTGGATTAGAAGGGATCTGAGATTACTTATAGCTCCAGATCTATGATCTTTTATTTCTGAGAGGACTGGCCTTAAAATCTGAGGACCTGGGTTCAGGTCTCAGATTATCATTAGTTTATGGGACCTTGGTCTGTCATTTAACACGCAGAGGACAAGAATTGAAGAATATCTCAAAGGACCAAGCTGTGTCAGGGCAGTGAGGTGGCACAGTAGATCGAGCACCAGGCATCATCTTTTGTGAGTTCAAATCCAGTCTCAGACACTTACTGGTTGTGTGACCCTGGGCAAGTCACTTCACCCTGTTTGCCTCAGTTTCCTCATCTATAAAATGAGCTGGAGAAGGAAACGGCAAACCACTCTAGTATCTCTGCCAAGAAGACCCCACAAGAGGTGGTGAAGAGTCAGACACGACTGGACAACAAGAATGAAGAGGTTGAACTGGACAGCCTCTAAGGCCCCTTCTGGTTCTAAACATCCTAGCCTTTACTCAGATGCTATTTTCACCAACCAACCTTCTGATTCTATTTTGGTTTCCTAAGGAGACTTCCCTACTAAGCAGAAAATGCATATAGCAGATGTTGTTCATACAACAAACATTTACTAAATAGCTATCTTTTAATGAAAAGAGCTTCCAAGCCAGAAAGATCAGGGTTCCAGTCCTACATATAATGCATGAAATGTAAGCAGGGAATATTTAACACTCAGGGTATCTGAAAGCCACATTCAGGTCCTCACCTCAAGGTGAGAAGGTCAGAAGTATGAATTGTGTAATTATTCCTATAACTGTGTTATCTTCCCCATTTATCAGGTGATGAAGCTCTGACAGCTCAGACAGGTTAAGTGATTTGCCCAAGGTAACACAGCTGGTGAGTGTCAGAGTCGGAATTTGAACCTTGATCTTCCTGGAGTCCAAATCCAGTTTTCTTTCCACTACAGTAAGTAAGAAATGGGGTGGTCCCAGGGAAGAGGAGACCCTTGACCCTGGGATGAGTTGGCAGGGCATACCATGAACATTGGTAACAGCAAATCTTGAATTTGTAAATTGGAAGGAGTGGGGGAGGGGGAAGTCTCCTGTATTTCAGACTAGAGAGCTGCAAATCAACCTGGTTCTCCTCCCAAAAGTTGGTGAATATTTTTTTCCTACTCTGCCCATCCTACTTTGCTTCGTCTCACCAGGCGGATTTGTTCTCACAAAGGAGGGCCACTCCTGACCTTATTACACATTAGAGAACCAGTGGGCCAAAAGCATCAGGAGACATTATTTTCAGATGCACATACTGACACAAACAAAATTCACTAAGCTTAGAACTTAGTTTACTTGGAGTAGCACTGTGCTTACAGCAGATACCAAAATTATGTCATCTTTCTTTCTCCCCTTTCCCTAGGTGCTCCTTCCCTAGGAGAAAACGATGACCTGAAACAAAACTGGCTGTCTTGTGTAAGAGAATGAGCTCCCCATCATTGGAAGAATTCAAGCAGAGGCTGGGTGTAGAGGAGATTCCTGCATCCGTTAAGAGACGGAATTAGATGACCTCTAATAAGAATCCCAACTCTAATGCTATGACTTCCATGTAGTTGCATTAGAAGGACTTTTCCATCCAAGATGGTCTAGTAAGAGGCTAGTCATTTGACAATCCATAAATAATTATCCATCTTGTATCAGTACGACCCACAGAAAATGGAAAAGAAAAAGTTTCTTTCCTCTGAGAATTTAGCGTGAAAAACTCACTGCGGCCAATTACATTCAAGAGTAGTTCTTAACAAGGGGACAGGAATACATACCACTAATTTAGCAACTTTTCCTAGATTGTTTGACAGATGTTTCTTCAAAAAACAAATCAGAGAACTGTTTGAAAAATGAGCAGATGAGATTTTAAGAACCCAAGCACCCCCACAAATTCACACCATAAAATATTTATTAAGAAACAATATGCTTTTTCTTCAATTGTAAAAACATCTTAGGAATCCTTTTTTGAAATTTTAAAATCATACCAGATGCCGACATAGTCTTACATTATCAAAACATGTAAAATACCACACTTCACAAAACTTTAATTAACAATCAGAATCTTATGTTTCCACCAGCTAATAAAATAATTTCCACATACTTAACTTACTTTTTTTCCTTAATACGTAAACAATATACAAAGAGATTCACCTGAATTTCATAAATCAGAGCAGGGGTCCTTATCTGAGTATGTGCAATGAATGGAGTGCTTCCTGCAGAGAGACTGAGAGAGGAAAACAACAAGACATGCCTAGCTTCTTTACTGAATAAAGCTAGCATATTTGTAAACCTTTCTTTTGATATGACAAGAGTCCTTGATGTCCAGGGGGGAAAATAGCAAGCCATGTCAGAGAAGGTTCATTGAAGGGTATATATTTGCACATTCTCCTGTAACTGCTAGATACTCCTATTTTGGCCAAAGGTCATAAGTCTGTGGTATAAATTTACCCCTCAACACTTGGATCATGGTAGAAAAGTCCTATTAAATAAATTTGTAGATGGTTTTATCTGTGTTGATCATATGTAAACAGTAAATCGTTCTCATCAGATCTAGGCAGAAATATTGACCCTCCTTTTTCATCTACAGCTGAAATGTACTCACTACTGTCCAGGAATTCAGCCTCTGATAACCCAAGCAGAATAAAATGCTGAAATGGACACCTTCCCACAGCAAAAAGTAACCCAGGGGATGGCAGTAACTGATTTTTTTTAATTGAAAGCACAAAATATCATTAAGATGAATAACCAAGTCTTGCACCTTATTCGATGCTATGGTAAAGTCAGATTAAAATACAATCAGGAAGAGAGTTCATGGTTTTATTGCTGTTCCACCCTTCTTTAATCTTCTTCAAGATTAAAAATAACCCCAGAGTCTTGCTTGGTAAAGCCTCTATACCATATCTCAGTGAAGGGTGATTTTTTTTTTGTACATAAAAAACCATTTTGTCATAAGATTACTACATAAATAAAGGAGCTTTTCACAATCACAAAACTAGACAAAATACATAAATTTACATCGAAACTAAGATGTGCCTGGGAAATGCTGAGCTCCAATGGACAGTTTTAGATAGAAAACAGGTTTTTCATTTATGATTGTATTACATTCTTTTCCATTGCCAATTTGATTGTCTACAAAATAGTCAAGGGAAAAAGAGGTAACTAATATCATGATCTCATACAGTTAAGGGGTGGGAGTGGGGGAAAAAAAGAAACCACCTTACTCTAGTAACTTACAAAATTCTTTTGACTACTGTACCTAAAGGGCACTTGTTGGCTCAAGCATCTCTCTTTCACACTCATGCTCACACCACACACCCACACACCCACACACCCACACACACATACACACACACACACACACACAGAGCTGTCAAAAAAGCATGTACACTTTAAACATAATCCTTTTTTTCCCACTAAAAATCATGCACTGGAATGAAACATATCTGGAAATGCTAATTAAGAGAAATTGTCATAGATTTTGGAGCAAATGAGCCCATCAAAAAGAAATGCTTTCCCCAAAAATGCTGTCCAACATGCAAGGACTTCCCGTTTAGAGAATTCTTTACCAATGGACTGTTGGTGAATTCATTCCCAGAGTCTTTCTTGCCTGTTCATCTTAGGTACTGAAAGCCAGTTTTGTGGTCCATGAGTTCACACAGTGACTGCTGGGTACATCTTCTGTTCGCTACTGGCATGGGGGTAAGGAGACTGGATCTGCCTGTACCCAGTTTGCAGACCGTCCAGGAAGGGTGGCACAGGGGTCATGGGCATGGAGTCATGTTGCACTGTGTAGCCCATATACTGGGGGTGCAGGTATTGTCCTTGGTGGGGCACAATCTGGGTAGCCTGCTGACAGTTCAACACTGAGAAATTAGTTGGCATGTTGACATATACATTATTCATGGTCCCTTCTGGCAAGCAGCAGTTGGTCTGTGACCTCGTCGGAGGAGCTCTGGCACCGGAATTGGCGCTGGAACTGGAGCTGGCAGCAGTACTCGATTGACGGGAGGAGGACCCACGAGAGGTGCTGGCACTTGGAATCATGGGAATCGTTTCCATCAATCGATTACCTCCGGGGGCTCGGCTCTGCTGAGGCTCCTGCTTGGGCCGCAGACATCTGCAGCAGCAAGCAGCCACTAAAGATCCCAGGATGATAAAGGCCACGAACACCGACCCCACGATGAGGAAGGGCACATAGATAGGCACTAAAGAAAGGAATACAGACAGAAAACGATGATTCCTCTTAAAGAAGGTTTGCGCAACTCCAGTATTGACTGCACTCCATAGCTTCAGAGCTATCCCCTCTTCCTGTCTTTTATTTCCTTCCTGACCCCTAAGAAGCCTGAGCCTGAAACAGGGGCTGTGGAATTGAGGTTTATAACAAAGACAAACGAAAACAAACAAACAAACATCAAAATAGTTCAGAAAGACATCTCCCACTCCCTAAAATGTGAGCAACCTGGGTATAAAGATCCATTCAGATTAACAGAAATTATACATTACAGAATAATTCGAAAGAAATATAACATTATTGCCTTTAAGTATACAAAGTCAACAAATTCTCATGACTAACCAAATTAATGGATATGTATAGTTCTGAGGGAAATATATATATATAGATATATATATAGGTATATATATACATACACACACACACACACACATATTTTGCAGCTGCTAGGTAGTGTACTAGAGTATACTAGAGCCAAGCCTGGAGTCAGGAGGACCTGAGTTCAAATTTGACCTCAGGCACTAGCTATGTGACCCTAGGCAAGTCACTTAACCCCATTTGCCTCAGTTCCTCATCTGTAAAATGAGCTGGAGAAGAAAATGGCAAACCACTTCAGTTTCTCTGCCAAGAAAACTCCAAATGGGATCGCAGAGAGTTGGGCAAGACTGAAAACAAGAACAGTAGTTTTGAGGATTTAAGTCACTAAACAGTTCATTCTCTTTAGTAGATTAAATATGTCCCTTGCAATCTTCTTTTGACACTATTTAGTCAACAGACTTTTTTCATTGACAATGAAAAAGTCAACTTCAGTGCAGAGCGAACCTTTACAATTTCTGAATGAGTAGGCTGAGATTTAAACATTTTTACTACAGTAGAAATAAAAAGTGCCAAATCTTCTTAGTCAATCTTTGGAGACTTCCTTAGTAAAGAAAATTTATGGGAAGGATATAGCCTGGTATGTTGACGAGGGAGGCAGTCTATACCAGGCAAAAGGCAAAAGCATGGGAAAAAAGACTACATCAATGAAAAGTAAATAGTTTAAGAGGAATGGAAAGACAATTTAAGGAGACATGAGAAGGCCAAGGCAGCATAAAGGTGTACTGCTACCAGGACTGGTAAGTCCAAAGTTAAAACAAGGGGGATCATAGGGAGTTCCCAGAAAATGGAAGAAACGTATCATAACACAAAGCAACCAGTATGAATTCTGACAGTTAGATTTATGCAGCACATGAAATAACTTCTGAAAACCCAAGATTTCGGTTTAAAACAAGTATTAAGGATCAGAGTTTTTTCTTTTCTTTTTTTTTTAATCCTTTTCACAAGACATCATTTTTGGGGAAATTCTGAAATGCTGGAACTATTGATCAATTGTTCTTCACGTGGAAAACACAAGATGTTCAAAAGAGATGTAAGCAAATGGGAAGAGGAGGGGAAAAAATCTTGATGAGTTCACTGAGTTTCTCTAGTACTTATGTGAGTCATTCACAATGCACTTATACTGTAGTCATTTAAAGACATCTTCTCTCTATTAGATTATACACTCCTAGAGGGCAGGGACTGTCTTTTATATTTATTTATATTCCTCTACAACACCTTGCACATAGTATGAGCTAAATAAACATTGAATGAATGCGCCAAATTCCTTGGTACTGAGAGAACAGACCAAATTCTCTCAAATTGAGTAATGCTTCTAAATATGTTCTTTATGACTTCTGAAATACCTAGAGTCAAAGTTATTAAAATATAACACCTTGTAGAATCACCTAGACCTAAGCTCGATTTTCGTGATGAAAGCTTAGCCAAAAAGGATGGTTTCTTGAGGTCTAACAGGTGCTATAGAGTTGGCTACGCCAAAGCTGTCCAAGAATAAACCTGTCCTAATTGTTGGAGTTAGCCAGAGGGTTTTATAGCAATATGCTGGGTTTTTTCTTAACCTTTCTATAAATGTTTGTATTCCTCTAAAAAAATCTAATCATATATTACTAAAGGTTAAAAATCTAGTATACTTTAAATGTACAAACACACACACACATACACACACATACACACATACACATTATCCTAAAGCCTTGTCAGAAGCAATGCAATGTTACTTACTTTTTAAAAATAATAATAATTGTTCACTTTCAAGGAATTTTAATTGGACTTGCATACCTGCATGTAGGGATAATTAATGCAGGGCTCCCAGGAGCCCTGGTACCATTTAATTAGACAAGATAGGGAAGCATTGGTGTGAAATAGATTTAGTGAAGCATAATTTTTTTTAAACAAAGTTCTGTAAAGTGCAGTGAAGTCCCCAAAATGCACATCTCAGCATCTTTATAATTTTGACAACCTTTCATATTTCCTGTGGAGTCATGAGGCAACTGTTGTGCAGGAATTTGTCCCAAGAAGTCTCCTGTATTTTTCTTCTTTTACTATTAAACAGCCTTGCTTTGGCATTGGCACATTCCTTAACGCTTTATTTCATACACATACACCGCAAAGCTGAGTTGGCACCTTAAACTGAGACATTTTCCAGAATTATACTCTCCTCTCCTCCCATGAGAGACAGAACAATGGTTAGTAGCATGAGTAATAAAATGCTTGACTGAAAAAGTGGCCGAGTTTAAAGGAGCTCTCCTCTTACAAGGCCACAAGAGACAGCTCTGTAAACACTGCCTCTCATAACAAGAACATCTCAGGCCGCTCAGCCTCCTGTGGGTTCAGGATGCAGAGAAACAGGATGGTGCAGAAAGGCAGGATGAACTGGAGGGTGCCCTTGTTAAAACTAAACTGCCCAGCTTCATGGAAATGATTGTCACCTGACCTATGACCTCTAGAATATTCTGCCCACAGAACTGTATCCTACTCACCAGAGGATACACTCTCAAGAAGGTGAACTTGGGATGAGCTGAAGGGGGGGTGGGAGAGAATATCTCAGAAGAGCAGAGCTTTTAAAAGGAAATGTTTTTTTAAAAGTCATAAAGACAAAAAGTTAAACATCTTCTTCAGGGTCTCAGACAAGTTGGCCAGGCATGTGATGCAACACCATTCAGTTTCAGGTGCAGGTGCCAGCTCTGCCTGCCAGCACACATGGAGGAAGGGGAATGGGTGTTGCAGAACATTAGAGCCCTGAGGCCAGGGCAGGGGAGAAGTACAGGCCATTTAATCCATGCTCAAGAAACTTAAGATTTCTCTTCCACCAAACTGTCCAGGTCTGATTACTGCACTAGGCAAAGTCCTAAGAGACAGAAGTTTTAGGTTTACCTAATCTAAGCCCCTCATTGGACAGATGAGGAACAGCCTGACCTACAGGAAAGCCTAGAAGGGGCCCCTTCCTGCAGAGGGGACACCTAACAGGTTTTCCCCCTTACCCTTCCACCAGAGGGTGGGGGTGGAGCAGTACCTGACATTGTTAGGCACGTGGCCCAGGCTGGGAAAGGAGTTAAGACTCCGTTTAGATTGGCTGCTATTCACCCTACTTTTCCTATCTTCCTTCAATATTTAATTCATTTAATTGGAGAGGAAGGCAGGAGGAAAATAGAAGTCTCTAAGAGGGAAAAATAGCTGTCTTGGAATCCAGACAGGAGAAGATGGCGGCAAAAAGTAAGGTGGGTGGGTTCTTCTTCCTGAAATACTTGAAAACATAATTAACCCTTTTGCCTCAAATAGGGTGGGACTGATCCTAGGAAACATCTACTGGGGACCTTCCAAGGAGATGGGGAGAGGGAGGAGAAGGATGTCAGGGAGGAACAGGAGGAGGAGGGGAAACACAGGAGGATGGAGGAGATGAGGGAGACAAAAGAAAGGAGATTTCCTCAAGGAGGGTCCCCAGTGCATAAGAGGTTCAGGCTTCTCTTTAAAATCTAGGACCAAGTCACAACAACCTTAGCAGTAGAAATGATTTAGGACAACTCACTCACTTTACACTGATGAAGCAAATAAGGGCCGAAAAGGCGCAGTGCCTCGCTAAACTTCAGCTAGCTCCTGCCAGCTGCTGGACTAGAACCAACTGGCAGGTACGTCTGCCCATCCCTCCAACTCTGCCCCTGTCCAGTTCAGCTAGGTCTTTCTGTTGGAGTCTCATCTAGTCCAGTGCCATGGTACGGCTCTCAAGATTAGGGGCTGAGAAAAGTTGGCCAAGTCCTCAAAACCAGCCCAGCACGCCCCCGCCCCGCCCAGGGGCCCCCTTCCCCCCGCTTACCTGCGGCGCCGTCGGGGCTGTCTTTGTCCGAGCGGCCGGGCTCACTGCCCCCCTGCTGGCGGTCGTTGTCGCAGCCGCCTTGGTCGAGCCGCGCGTCGGTGCTGGAGCAGCAGTAGCGCAAGGCGCAGCTGCCACAGCAGATGGTGGCATCGCCGCCGTCGAAGCGCTCGGGACACTGGAAGCCGATCCGCCAGACGCCCTGCGCGTCCAGCCAGCCGTGGCAGTACTCCCCGCTGGCCCGCGCCCCCGCCGCCAACAGCGCCGCCAGCAGCAGCTGCAGAATGGTGGGGGAGGAGGCCGAGGAGGAGGAGGAGGAGGGCGAGGAGGACCACAGACGTCCGCCCCACATGGCACCACCCGGAGCGCGGGGCGGCGCAGGCTCCAGTGGGAGGAGGGGCCCCGCGGGGACACCTAGGTGGGTTAGTGCCCGGACCCGGGGCTTTGGCAAAGGGCCCGGTGCTGAGTACAGGGGACAGTCACGGAGGGGTTCAGAAGAAGTCCTGGCGGAGTCTGCCCCTTTCCATGAGGTCAGCGCCCTTCTTTCCCCTTCCAGGCCAGGGTTGATCAATGATTTGATGGAGAGGGCGGCTCCTAAGTCATCATTCCCACATTCTCAGGCGCCCTAGCCGGGTATAGTCGTGGTGGAGCGTAGTGGGGCAGGAGCTTGCAGGAGTCTGAAAGAATGGAGGCCTTGGTGGCTCCAGAGGCAAGTCAGAGGAGCCGCTAGGAACGTCCCCACTGTGGTTGTGGGGAGCGATAGCTCTCAGAGGTGTTCCCAAGCAAGCGTCAACTCCACGGGCATCCCACCGAGAATGCGCTCCCCAAAAGCCTTTCCCCGGCCCACGCCCTCTCCACTGGACCAATTAATTCTACTCCTGAGGGACCCAAGCCGTCAGATTCCAGGGTGACAGGCGAGGCGGGAGCTGCTTTATCCCCCTCGGCAACAGAGCACAGGAGACAGAAAGGAGAGGAGAACGCGGGGGGGGGGGGGGGTGCAGAGGAAGCTTGTTAGAAGCAAGTGCAACAGCAAGTGCGGCCGCTCCTCAATCTCTCCCTCCCCATTTCCAAACTTTGTCCGCGTGCTTCAGGTTGCAAAACTCGCGCTGTGCAAGGAAACCCTTCCCAGGGCGAAGCCCAAAGTGTCCCATTGAGGGCAGATGCTAAATGCCAGGAGACTCAGCCCGAGGACCCTGATGAAGAACAGCTCCCCCACCAACACGACCTCTGCCGAAGGAAGCCGGAGACCCACGGAGCAGCCTCAGGAGCAGCTCGCGTCTGGCTCCCGGAGGAGAGATGAGTGGCGGCAGCCGCGTCCTGCGGTCTTAGTCTCGGCGAGCCTGGGCGGCAGGACTCGCTAAACCTCTCCGCCTCGCGCGCTGCTGGTGCTGCTGCTGGTTGGGTTGCGGGTGCGGGTGCGGGTGCGGGTGCTGGTGCTGGTTGAGCGCCGGTGGTGTTGGCTAGGTGGTGGTGGTGCTGCTGCTGCCGCTGGGAGCAGCTCCAGGACTTGCTCACTCTCTTCTCCCGGCTGCAGGCCGAGGGGAGCTCCCACCCGTCTGCGGGGCGCTGCAAGCTCTGTCTCCTCCACTAGAACCACTCCTTCTTCTTGCGCCTTCCTGGGTCCCCCACACTGCCCCTTTTCTTTTCCTCTCACCTCTTCCCGTACACTAGGAGAAAGAAGCCACGCACTGGAGAGAGGTAGCGGACGGTGGCAGCGGAGGCGAGGGAGACGTCTGGCAGCTGCTCGCACACTCCCCTCAAGCCTCCTTCCCTGGCGCAACTCAGACTCGCGTTCGCTGCCGCTTTCGCTTGCTCTCTTATTATAGGCACTTGGCTCTCACAGGCGCGCATGCGTTTCAGAGAGACTCCTTCCCTTCCTCTATCCCTCCTCCCTCCGAGAAATCCCCACACACGTAGAGAAAGAGTGAGGGTCTCTTCCTTCCACTTCAGCGCTTAGAATAACTTTGACATTGAGGAAAATGAACCACAATCTCTAGGAAAGCAATGGCAGAAAAGGATGTGTGTTCCCCACTTTGCCTCAAACACAATGTCTTTGCTTTCACGGATTAAGGGGAGAATGAAGACAAAAGTCTATGAACTTGAATGAACGTTACTAATCTGTACAGTCTTTCGTCAGACATTGGTTCTTTTTTGAGAAAACTGAAGGAACAGGTGTTGGTACTTTTAAAACTCATTGATTTTTTTTTAAGTAAGACTAGTGGAAAGGATACTAGACAGTCAAGATTGTGGTCACACCTTTACTTGAGACCTTGGAGAAGTAGTCACTTAAGCTCTCTGTAGTAAATCATCCTTAAGGTAATTTTTAAATGTCCCTTTTAGTTCCCTGATTCTATATTACTTAGAAGGCAAGGCTATTTTATTTGTAGGCAAAAGGTATATCCTCTTTCATGGGACCATTCAGATACTCTTGTATCACAGACTCAGTAGATAACTGATAAGCTATAAAAGACTCATTTTACCCTACCTGGCAAGTCTAGTCTGCTTCCTAGAATTTGAAATTGAGACTAGTCACCATAAATAATAGTAGCAGGTCATACTGATATAGTTTTTTAATATAATATTTTATCTTTCCCCCAATCACATGTTAAAACAATTTTTAAACATTTTTTAAGTTTTGAGTTCCAAATTCTATCCCTCCCTCTCTCCTTTATGCCCCCTCCCTGAGATGATAAGCAATCCAATATAGTTTATAAATGTGCAATCATGTAAAACATTTCCATATTAGTCATTTTATGCAAGAAGACTCCAATAAAAAATGAAAGTAAAAAATAGCATACTTCAGTGTTTTAAAGTTTGCAAAGCATTTATATATATATATATATATATGTGTGTGTGTGTGTGTATGTATCTATATATACATACATAATTTAATATCCAAACAGTCCTGTGAGGTAGATGCTATTTATCAAGCTAGTCAAATCAAGTCAAGAAACACTTAAGCACTGTGTACTAGGCTGTGTGCTAAACACTGACTAGGGGATACAAAGAAAGGTCCAGTCTCTCCTCTCATGGAGCTTACAATCTAATGATGGAAACAACATGCAAACAACTATGTCCAAATAAGATATGGACATTTAGATAAGTATATAATAAGTTGGACATAATCTGAGAAGGAAGGCACCAGAATTAAGGTGGGATTTTAGGTGGCACTTGAAGGAAACCAAGAAAACCAGGAGGCAGAGATAGAAGAGCATGGTTATCCTTCCACATTGACTTTCCTCATCACGGTTTTGATATATCCAAGATCGGCATAAGAAATTAAATGAGAATTTTTGGGAGTTTTCTGCAAACCACAGACAACATTTGGAGTCCAGCAAACAACATGGAAACAGTTTAGAAACTCAAATGTGTAAAATATTACAGTTTTGTATAATATCAACCCACATTTTACAATAAGGTACTGTAAGCACTCCATAAAAGAAAAATTCAGACTTCTTCTCTGGTATGAAGGGAGGGCCAAAAATGTTTATGAGGATTTTCCAGATCAAGGGGGGTGCTGCACCCCTAACCTCCTGTGATATATTCCAGGCACAGGGGACAGTCAGTGAAAATGGCCAAAGAAAGAAGATTGTATGAAGAACAGTATGGTCCAGTGTCACTGCATCACAGAGTATGAGGACATGAGTAAGGTGTAAGAAGACTGGAAAGAAAGGATGGGGCTAAGTTATGATGGGTTTTAAAAACCAAACATGATTTTATTTTTGATCCTGGAGATAATAGGGAGGGAGGGGGTGACACGGTTGGGCCTTCATTTTAGGAAGTTCACTTTGACAGTGGAACGGAAGATGGACTAGAGTGGGGAGAGGCTTGAGACAAGAAGACCAACCAGGAGCATGTTGTGATAGTCCAGGCACGAGGTGACAAAGGCCTGCCCAGGGGGTTGGTGATATCAGAAGAGAAAAGGGGGTCTATAAGAGAGATGGCTTTTTAAAAAAAAATAACGATAGCTAGTATTATTTAGCATTTTACAAATATTGTCTCATTTTACTTTCACAACAACTCTCAGAGGTAGGTGCTATTATTCTTCCTCTTTTACATATGAGAAAACTGAAGCAGTTGTTGTTCATTCATTTTTCAGTCTTGTCCAACTCCTTGTGACCTCATTTGAGAGTGGTTTGCCATTTCCTTCTCCAGCTCATTTTATAGATGAGGAAACTGAGGCAAATAGGTTTAAGTGATTTGCCCAGGGTGACACAGCTAGTAAGTATCTGAGGCTAGATTTGGACTTAGGAAGATCAGTCTTCCTGACTCCAGACCCAGCACTCTATCTACTGTACTACCTAGCTGCCCTCACTAAAGCAGACATAAGTTAATTGATTTGCCCAGGGTCATGTACTACTTTTTTAAAAAATAAATTTATTTATTTATTTTTAATTTTCAACATTCACAAGAGAGATGTTTTTAAGATAGAATCCATAGGACTTGAAGACAGACTGGGTAAGAAAGGTGAGAATCGAGTATGACCACTAGATTGCAGGCCCGTATATTGGGACGATGGAGGTACCCTCAATGGAGGTACCCTCAATAGAGATACCCTCAATAAAGAAGTTAGGAAAGCAGAAAGGTGGTTGGGGGGAGGGGAGGAAGAGGAGGAGATAATTTTAAAAATATCTTTCAAAAGTTATTTATCTTTCTTTATCTTAAAAATGTCTTTCTTTAGCTTTAAAAAATTATCTTCATTTTGCAAATGAGGAAACTGGGGTTCTAGGAGTTTGATTCACTTTCCAAGTTCAAGCAGCTAGTTAAGTACTCACTTGCTATGCTTTTTGGAATTACTCCTGACTTAGTGGAAATGACAGTATTGGATGCTTTGAACAATAATGAATGAAATTCACTGTTTTTAAAACCAGTGTTTAAATGTATTAAAAGGTATGGCTCCTCATTTCCTACTGAATAAAATATAAATGCCAATCTGGGGCATTCAATGCCATGTCCAGTGTTCCCAAACTACCTTTTCAGTCTTAACTTAAATAGTTTCCCTTCATGTACTCTCTATTCTCGTCAAACTGGACTCCATTCCTTTCTTCCATCTCCACAATTTGGAGCCCAACATACAAGGTCCAATTTACATGGACCTTAAGCCACCTCTTCCTTGAGGCCTTCCCTAACCCCCCCAGCTGAAAGTGATCATAATCTCCTCAGATTTCTTTGTAGGACTTTGTCCAGAATTCCATTTGCATTTACTGCATTCAAATTTATCATACTTATTTATGTCTTCTTATCCCTTCAGAGTGTAAGTTCCCTGAGGACAGAGACTCTGTTGTAACTCCTTGTATCTCCCTCAGTACCTAGCAACAGTGCTTTGCACATATTAATCACTTAATAAATGCATTTTGAATTGAATACACAATATGAAAGGTTGGGTTTTTTTAAGTTGAACTGAATAAAAATCAATCAGAACTGAATGTTATGAGGATATGTTAAAGAAATTGTAAATGCAGGGGATAGAGTGCAGGGCCTGGAGTCAGTAATACTCCTTTTCCTGAATTCAAATCCAGTTTCAGACATTTACTATGTGACCCTGGACAAGTCACTTAACCCTGTTTGCCTCAGTTTCCTCATCTGCAAAATGAGCTGGAGAAGGAAATGGCAAACCACTGCAGTGTCTTTGCCAAGAAAACCCCAAATGAGATCACCAAGAATCAGACATGACTAAAAAGCAACTAAGAAACCTAGAGAAGAAATGACTGGGGAGAGGTCTGAGGGGAGAAGACAGGGAAATGATTTAAGAAGCACTTAGCATTTAGATATGATAGCTATCTTCAAATATTTTCTAGACCTTTATGTAGACAGCAATTAGTCTCGAGGAAAGAACTAGGAAGTATGGAGAGAAGTTGACAAGAGGCAGATTTAGGATTGTTGTAATTCTTTCCAACAATTGGAACTGTCCAAAGGTCAATGGAATAGCTCAGAAGGTAGTGGATTTCCCTTTACTGGATGTCTTCAAGTAAGGTCAGGATGACCACTTTTCAGTTATGATGGAGAAGAATTCCTGTTAAAGTTTGGGTTGGACTAGATGGCATCCCGGGTCAATTAATCAATTAATAAGCATTTATTAAACCTTTACTAAGTGCTGGGCATCTTGTTAGGAGCTAGGGATAAAAATACAAGGAATACAATAATCCCTGCTCTCAAGAGCTTACATTCTAATGGGAGACCCAAAGAAGGAAGGAAACAAGCATTTCTTAAGCACCTACCATGTGCCAGGCAGTATGCTAAGCAGATTGTAAGTATTGTCTCATTTGATCCTCATGACAATCCTGGGAGGTAGGTGTTATTGTTAATGTTGTTGTTGTTATTATTATTTTTCAGTTGAGGAAACTGAGCCAGACAGAGGTTAAGGGACTGGTCCAGGGTCACACATCTAGAAGGGTCTGAGGCAGAATTTGAACTCAGATCTCTCTAACTCCAGGTATAGCACTCTATTCATTCTTTCCACTACAATACTCTGTCTTTCTCTATCTATGTAGGAGATTTCCAGTGTGGAAATTCCCTTTTGTAACTGGAGAAATGCCTAGAAGCACTAAGATGTTAAGTGACCAACCCAAGGTCACACAGTGTCAAAAGCAGAATCTGAACCAAGGTCTTTCTGTCTCAAATGCCTCTGGCCCTCTATCTACAGTACCAAATGGTCTCTGGTGCCTGATTATAATTCATAAAATACTACTGAAATTTAAAAAAAAATAATGCCTAACAGATCCTCAGTAGTAGGAGTAGAGAAACACATACATAATGAAAAGATTACTTGTGAGCTTGCT